ATCCACTCCTTGTTCTCTCCACTTTCTACTTATGAATCTCAAGCTCTTGAAGCGATTTTTAGTGACGACACGTTTCAGCATTCTGTCTTGTCTCAGTGTGGTTATTCGTTTACGACCACTATTTGAGCGATTATTTTTAAAACTTTGATTTGTAGAATAATCTTTTAAAATTTTACTTACAGTTCCTTGAGAGCAATTCACTTTTTTGGCAATCATTTGTTGACTAATTCCCTCATTGCGTAGAGTCACAATCGCTGTCTTGGTAGTGTCCGGTATGTCTTTCGTTCGACCCATTTTAACTCCCAACTAACTAAATCTGATTTTCAAACGAGCCTTTATACGCGTACTAGCTCTACAGTGGCGCAACTTATGCAAATTTTATGATTAACGTTGACCAATCACACAATTTTACAGATATTCTAATATTTTGAATCGCCTCTGGAAATATTTTAATATTTTGAAAAATTTCAATATTTTTTTATAAAATCTCTAATACTTCTTTAGGCGCGTGTGAACAATAATATCATACGTCAACTAATTGTGGACGGTTAATAATTTTTCCGTTCGCCACCGTTGTTTATTTTTAAAGATATCACGCATTTTATAAGGTAATACAATGCCTTTTTTGGTTATTCTAATATTTTGAATTGGAGTTGTATAATAGACATCCTTTTTCAATTCCTACTTATAGTTCACCCTATATCTTGTTCGAATTTTCAATCGTGAAATAAAATACTTTTTATTCATCCACTTAAGTTCAATTAAATTTTTTTAAACTTGTAGTGAATGGCACTTGATGTTAATACAGTTTTTTTTAAATATTAATTCATACATTAAATTTAATTAATTAACTTTAGATTAGATTTAGAATGAAATTTAGAGAAGAAATTTTAATTATTCAATAAAACGTAACTAAAATAAAAATTTTATTTTCTGATCTAAATAGGAATTTAATTAAATTTTTTTATGTTACTTATTCATATTGAAGTGAATTGGATAAAAAATTAGAAAACTTTCTTAGCCCGCAATTGGCTAATGAAACAAGCAACATTTATGAAACTATTTTACTTCGAAATTCATTTATAATTATTTTACTTCTGTTTAGTGCCCTTCCGAAGCTGCGCTAGGGATTTATGTCCCCTTTTGCCTCTCCCCCCTAACTGTGTTACTAATGTGGCGTAACTACCACTACAAATACAAATATTATAAACCAAAAAATCACTAGTATATGTAAGACATGTTAACTTGATTCTAACTGGAGGTACCTTTTGATAGATGTAGCTTGACATAGTCGATAATTAAAAACACCTACACTAGAACCATGTTTTACGAATACATTCTATCCACTGGTAAATCATACTTAATTTCATTTTAAAAATTTCATTTTAAAATTTACTTCAAGGAAAAAGAAACCTCTATCATGAAGTTACGGAAAAGATTTCAGTGGAACGCCAAGTTCAGGGTCGACTACTTTTATTTTTTCTCCTCAGCTTCCTTAAAAAATATAAAAGGTAATTATTTGTTTAGTTTTTTAAGGATATTTTCTCGTTATCCGAGACGTTTAAATGATATCTTTTATTGTAATTTTCAATCAATTCAATGATTTCAGTAAATGTAACTTTAAAAAAAAGAAGGAAACTAAAAATAAAGAAATAACTATGCTGATGGATTAGGTTTTAATATGTTGAAGGTCGTTCATTACATTCTTTTTTTTTTCCGATAGCAAATCGGTGCGTTACATGTCGAATGTTATCCATTTGCTTAATATGACCCGGATAAAATTTTCAATGATCGATGTGCTGTTTTGTGAAATTGCTACTTAATCGTTCCATTTGTATCAAGTTTTCTTTGCTGTATCTGTGTTCGTAATTCTATTGTCAGATTTTTATGATTATAAATAGAGATCGCACAGGGACACCGAAAGCATATTTAAGTTCTGAAACTATTCAAAGGAAAATAAAGACGAAAACAATAATAAATACAATGCATATAATTAGAACGATGAAGCATTATTAATTAAAATGTGAGAATAAACGGTGTTTTCGAAGTTCGATAGGCTGAAATACAACGAATTCTTTATTGCATGCGTACGTTTCTTTTTTCTTTTTTCAGCCAAGAGACACAAAACCATACAGCAAATTGTTTGATGTGCAGATTAAGCTTTTTAAATAAAAAATTAAAACTTTATTATTTTTTTTGTTTGCAAATTCTTTATACTGAAAATAATTTTTTAGCAAGAAAACTAACTTTTTTTAATCAAAAATTAATCATTTATTCGGCATATGATATCATAAATAACTTGATAAAAGAGACTAGTAGAGTTATGATAATTTTTTGAATGTAATTATCTCACAAAATAAATATATTTTTACATTATATATGCGTATAGCTCTACTCGAAATTGGAAAATATTTTCCTGGCTCTTACAAATAGAGGAGAGACAACATCAGATAGCAGTGTAAGGTTGCTTTTAATAACGGGTACGACATTTATTACAAAGCACAAAAAGGTTCATGTATGATTAGCAAACAAACCATGCAAGTTTTAAACAACGTTAAATTTAACTATACTAGTTTATATGAAGTTTGTATTAAGCTTGAGTAAACAAACCTTTCACATAGAAATTTAGTCGGCCTTTACAAAACTATATAAACCTTCTGAAATCAAGAATGAATTATCATTCGCAAATCAAGAGTAGAAAGGATTTTCAAATCGAGAATAAATTTCCCTTTTTTTTTGATTTTATGAAAATCACTGAAACAAGGTTTACTTGTTCAGGCTCGTACATACTTTATTTAACGCTTTAAAAGTGAAGGTAAGTCTGATCATTAGTTTTCCACTTGAAAAAATGTTGCATTTGAGAGCAAACCTAAAAGGGAAAGAAAAGCAAAAACAAGGTATACAGTAAAAGCTGAAGAATGAGATTTTGTTGTGAAGTTTTGTTTTGCACGCGTTTATACAATCTTTAAGGCAGTGTTTCCCAAAGTGTGGTACGCGTACCCCCAGGGGTACGGGAACAGTTTAAAAGGGGTACTCGTTCTTATGCGAATTATCTTGCAACAAACGAAAATTTCAAAAAAAAAACATTTAAAAAACAAAGCTAGTCATGAAAATTTCCGATTACGTACTTTTCTATTGGCTATTTTTTGCAGAGTTAACAGTTAATAATTACTGGTGTCAACAGCCAGTTGTGATTTTTAACTTTTGCGTAATTTTTTTATGGTAAAAAATAAGTTCATTTTTTATTACTGGTACACAGCGTTACGAGAAATTTAGAAGTCATAAGTTTGGGAAACACTGCTTTAAGGAAACAAACTTGATATACTATTATTTCCACTAAGTTGAAAATAAAATGGATTAATTAGTTTACCTTCCTAAGACAACCAAATGAAGATGAAAATACAACGTCTGTCTGCTATCTGAGAATTACTTTTTATTAGATACTTAAAATAGAACAGTTAATGGTAAAAATAAGGCAATATAACGGAGGATTACATCAGCAATACAAACATTTCCTTAATATAACTCAGTGTTATAAGAATCGTAAACATATAGTGTTGAAATGATGGCTTGTGATTTTTTTCCCTCTTAAATTACTATATCAAAGTAAACACAAGGGTGAGTATCACCAGTATATAGGTTTCTTAGATTTAGATATCAGCTTGACTTCGTTATTGTAGAATTGAAAAGAATTTTTATTTGGTTTCACTCTTTTGCGGTTCCTGAGGATTATTTGGGTCCTGGCCGCCTTGAAAATAGTTCCGATCAGATCATAAATTGTCACCAAAGATATGCCCAGCCACATTCCCATGTATCCTCCAATCACACTGAATATTTCCAATGACTGAAAAAAAAATGATATGTTTACAACATAATGATTACCATCGGCATCAATTGTGATCTATCCAACCTTATTTTTTAATTTAAAAAAACGTATTGTGTGATTTTTATTGCAACGATAATTTTTTTTAAAAAACTGACACACAGAACGAAAAATCTCTATACATCTACAAACTGTTCCTCATGTTAAAATGTTTCAAGACTTCCCACTTGAGGTATTATTTCAATTGTTGTTGTATACATGGAAATTATATACATAAAATAGAGTTAGACAAATTCCCTGATAATAATAATGTGTTAAAATTTATACAAATTTTATGCTTACTGTTTAAGAAGTACTATTTTGTGCTGGTACCTATATACGCATATGACTTCGCAATATAGATAAATAAAATATTGCTTTTTATGCACCTTTTACTGTCCCAGCAGATCACCGAAGTCAAGCATCACTGGCTGCGGTCAGTGTGCGGGTGGGTGGCCACTTGGATTAGTCTGCGTAGGGGCCGAGGTCCTCGTTAAACTGTTCTACCGTGAAGTGCTCGACTTCACGTGCAGGTCGTCGAGCTACCGAAGCGGGGGGCCATCCCCTCTGCAGAGGATCAAAATTGTGATGGCATGTCTTCGGATCATCTTCAGGGATGTTTCCCAGACCATCGCCAATAGCCCATTGTGCAGCTCTAGTGCGACGTAAATGGACAACAACAACAGCATCTTTTACTGCTCACTGAATCCCTTTCCCCCTTCCGTCAGCTGAAGCGTGAGGTCGTATGACTTTTTATCACCAACTATGTTTAATAATTTGCCTCTTTTTTCTGGGTTTTTACGATTTTTGAACTATTGTTACTGAACTGAAAGAAAAAAAAAATCAAAATTCCGAACTTTTCTATGGAGAAATAAAACAAAATAACGGTTGCGCAGCATTCCTGAAATAAAACATATTCTTTTTAAAAGGATATGACCAAACTAGAAACATCAGCGATTTTTAATTAAGATAAATATATAAAATATAAATTTTTTTTCCATCTGCGAATAGCTACGGAAATATGTACGTGTTTAAATGTTTAAATACATATAATAATCTTTGTAAGAATGATGCATTAGAAAAATCGAATCTTTCCCCGAAAAACCTCCAGAAAACTTCTTAGAGAAAGAAAAAAAATTGAAATTAATTGATGCAGAGATGTGAGATGTTTGAGGTTTGAGTTAGGTTGATTTGCATTAAAGTGACTGGAAAACGATCGAACAGCTCTTCAAACTCAAATTAACTGAAAAATACTTTAATATATGTAAAGTTTACTAACGAGTTTTCTGTAAGGTTATGTGATAACATTTCAATTGTTCTTAGCGTGTAAATAAATCTTTATTTCATTTCATAAACTTGGATGTTAGGGCAAAATTCGAAAATATTGCGAAGCGCCATTTACCAGCTGCAATTTTAAACAATTAAAACAAAAATTGTTGGCATTGATAGTGAAATGCATTTCTAAATATATGGAAAACAGTGCAGGGATCATTTTTAAAATGAAGAAAAACCTTAAGAATCTTGCATGAAGTAGCTTAGTTTCCAGAAGATTGTGAAATATTATTAATATTTTAAAATTAATTTGAAAAATGCAATAAAATATATATGCAGTGCAGTTTCGTCGCAAAAAGTGGCAATAAATTGCGACTGGTCGACATGTTTTTAGTTGCCTTGTGGCCGGTGGTGACAGTTAATTTTGCTTTTCTTGAGTTTAAGAATGCACGTTTACCATAAGTTAGAGGATATCTTGTTTTAGTATAATCAAGCTTAATGTGTGTGTACAAATAATTGAAAGAATATACCTCAAATTTAGGTTTGTATGTCAAGTTCGAAATTTCGAACCGGTCAAACAGTACGTCTATATCTATCGATCCACACCTGTTAAAAAACAAAGAAACTATTAGTTTCAAATTTTTAATAAACTGCTTTATTGTTATCAAATCAAATAATATTTTTAGCGAATATTTTTGTACATCTGAGTAGACTAAATCACTATTTTTGACAAAATCCCTGACCCTTCTGTTTGTAAATTTTGAAAGTGCGCATGCCTGTCAACTGTGTTATTAATTTTTAAGCATTAATAGTGCGCACTTCTTGGAAAAGTTTATTTTATTTGAATAAATATGCAATCGTTTTTAATGGATTTATATGATCGACACTGAAAGTATGGAATAAAAAGCGACAATCTGAACAATTTGCTTCCAATAGTTCTGCCTGAAGGACGAGTAAAAGGTTAAACCCTCTAACACGTTTAGCGCCATGCGGTCTGCAAGCTGCTTTAAAGCATTCGCATCAGGACTTAACAATGTAAAGCAACAGTTTGAAATAAATCTAAGTTTTATTTGTAAAAAAACAAAAATTAAGTAAGTTTTAAATTAATTTTCTGTATTTACTTAAAAACAATGTAAATTTTTCAGTTTTATATCATATTTTACACTGTCTGTCACCCATGGCAGACGCTGTTTCAACAAAAAGTATAGTTCATTCACCAATGACTGACGCGTCCGAAAGGTTAAGTTCAGTGTCCATCACCAATGATTGACGCTTCCCAAAGCCGAAAGTTTTGTGCCAGTCCCCGCTGATTAACGTGATGCTCAACGTATTAATGCTATTTTTAATTTTGGCAAAATTCACCTTTTGTCTCTGAAAGCCTTTATTCAAATCAAAGGAAATTGCAAGGCTACGGAGTCGAATTTTGGTAGTCATAAACCCGAAATTGGGTCGTCTGATCAACGGCGGTTATAAAAAAAAATTACGCTAGAACACATTTCAAATGTGTTCAGCTTATTGCGAGCTGAATATGCATAGCTTACGATGTATGCCTCGAAATATTGCATAACAATCTTGGGGGGTTAGGGAGCGTCTGAAAACAGGGGTCTGAAAACAGTGTTATTTTTTTAATAAGCTCACCGAATTAAATAAGATCACCCTCCTTGAATAAGATCACCCTCCTAAATTTAAAAAAAAAAAAAATTACAATATTGTCTTATTAGTACCCATAAAAATAGATTGATTGCATAAAACACAACTAAAACCATTTTAATGAATATAAAGTATGCTGAGCATTACCACGGAATAATGACCCTTGGTAGTGAACATTCTATCTTTATGATCTAAATGGGCGGGATAGCCTGGTTAGTAGGACATTGAGATCGCGTCTGGGGGAACGTGAGTTCGAATCCCTCCAACTGAAGAATCCCCGTGTATTAAATGTTGACTGGTACACCTTAAATCTGTCGGGGTCACAAAGCCCTCCAAGTTTCCATAACAAATCAATACACCTGGCTGTGCTGAATTGGAGATTGATCGTTCTCTGGTTCAGGTCAAAATTTCGATCAGTAGATGAATGAATGGAGGATGATTGGGTGCCCCCCCCCTTTAAAACGGGCTGTGACGTGTGTGCGGCTGAAGTAGTATTCTTGGCCATCGATGGAGTCACTGAAAAAAAGAGAAACGTGCCCTCTGCCTTAAAAATTCGCTTGATTTTAAGCATGCTTGCTGGCATTGGCAAGTGACGTAAGCAACAACAACATGATCTACATTCGACGATACATTTTAGAGTAAAAGCTCATTGTTTCTGCAAAATTTCTTCTTTCATTGTTTGATTAAAAGTTTCTCTATTTACTCTTTTTAACAAAACATTATGCATAAAAACAATGCATTGATACTTACTCTGGTCTCCAAACTCTGTTCTCAGCACAATCATACTGAAAAAAACAACGACATGAATAAGTTAGAATTCTAGACTAGTTTTAAATAAAGTTCCTTGTGTTAATTTTTTTTATTAATAAGGTTTTTCTAAGCTCATCCTCCAAGGAAAGTAAAAACAGTTGAAGTGCCTTGCACTTGAAGAAAAGCATCAAATTTAAACTGTATCTTGCTGTAAATAAATATCTGAGCCTTAGAACGGTCAAATAAATAAATATTTTAAAAGTAGTTAAACTTTCTTAAAAATCGCCAATTTGGCGATATTTTTTCCACGTAGATAAAAATTGTCAAAAACAATGCCAGATAATGCAGCATTTGAGTAAGTTTCCAAATATTAAAAAATGAGCCCACATACGCTTTTTATTTACTCAAAATTGCGGCTCTTCTTTATACTGAAGTTTTGCATCATTTCCAAACCAAACATGATGGCGTTGGCTAAAGATCGTCTAAACTTGACCTAACGATCATGAGTAACTATTGCAAACTCCTATCAGTTATGAAAATAGCATATTATTGGTAAAAAAAGCATCATTTCATGCGACCACAGAGCCTATGAAAAACAGCCTGAAATAAGAACTAATTATAATTATTATTTTCTTGATCATAGATAATTTCCTCGAGATTTAGTTTAAAAATAATTTAACTGTATGAAGTTATTACGATTATGATAATTTGAAGCTCTTTTCTTAAACTTGGTTTGTAAAGCTGAAGTTATTGACACGATCGTATAATCATCTAAATTATTGGGATCATGCTCGGTTGCTGTTAACTCCAAGTAAATATGGGCTCGTGCATTAAATGATCATGAATTCTCGTGTATTAAATGGTGATTGTTGCGCGGTAAATCTCTTGGGGTTACAAAGACCTTTAAGTTCCCATAACAAATTAATACCTCTGGGGGTACTGAATTGGAGATTTATCGTTTCCTGAATCAGGTCAAAATTGCGATTTGTGGATGAATGGATGGAGTATGATTGAATCCCCTATTAAATCGGGCTGTGACGCATGTGTGACCGAATTCGTAAAGAGTGACTGAATTCGTATTCTTGGCCATATAAACAAGAAACGCACTATCTGCCTTAAAACTTCGCCTGATTTCCCAAGAAACCTTGCCGGTATTGGTAAGTGACATAAGTAACAACAACACATTTGAGATAATGTTGCTGCCATATGAAAATAGCTTTTCACCAATGCGTTTGTAATACTGTATAATACTTGAACGTCTATTTGTCAGAGAAGATATGTTATATTGATATCCATAAAGAGGCGTCGACGCAGTTCGATTCAATCAGTTTATTTTATAAATAAACAAGTTGAATACGATTTCCGAAATGTCACAGAACAGAATACCACAAAAAGAAGTTAGGAATCATGCCACTGCCAGAAAGATGGCAAAATGTATTGAACCAGAAGGGGTAGGATAAAATTCAATAAAAAAATTTTTTACTACAAAAAAATCGTCTTTCATTTTAATAATAAATAAACAAACGAACAATAATAAATACACAAAAAACTGGCTTTCAGATAGTATTAGAATTGCAAATTCAATGGCGTAGTCCTTATATGCTATCCACGTTGATTATTACATTTACCTGACAAAACAAATAAAAAATAATTAACCCCTTAACGATCGGTTAATTTTCAAGAAAACGGTCATAAAAGTGCCTATTTCTTTGGCTTTTGTATTTGTATTACGCATTTGATTAGTGCTGGCATCTGGTTCAAAATAAACTAACTATCTACAATTAACTTGGAAATATCCTGGTACTGCCATCTGGCGTGTAAAATGAGAAATAAAATGTTTTCCGGACGAAAGAAATGAATTAGTTTTATTCTTATTGGCACGTTACTACTGAACACTCCAGTTCGTCAATATCACGGGAGCGAGAAATAGAGGGCGAAACCTCACCCCGTCATTTTCACGGGAGCGAGAAGGAAGGAGTTAAATGTTAATATACGTACATAGGCCAGTATGCATGATATTATCTGAAAAATACATTTGAAAAGAGAAAGAAAATATAAAATCATCTATAGATTAATTAAAAAGGATAGGATGTAATTGAAATTTTGATCAGGTTGAAATTCCTGTTGTTCAAATTTCAGGACGCTTGCAAAAACAGTTCAGGAGCTATACGAGGAGCGTAAAAATTCTTCTTTTTAATAATATAGATAACTCTCTTGAAGGCCTTTTCAGAATGTTATAATTTAGTTTGTTTTAATTCTAATAATTTTTCTTAATGTAACTAATGGAATTTTATAATATAAATATAAGTACTTACTTCTTTTAGTCTGATTCGTGTTCCCTAAGGAGAAAATTAAAGAAAAAATTATTTTTCATACAATTTCTTTTTTAATTGGAGTAAAAAAGGTTATGGAAATTTTTTATACATCAAAATGCTGCAATTTTAGAATAAATTTTGTGAAATAGTGCGGTTTACCAAAATTTACATTTGCATATTCGATCAAAACTCAAGCAGTGAGAAAGGAGACTCACAGATAATACAGTATGAAAAGAACAGCACATTGTTTATTTTTTAAAATAAAGTATTTTTCTACAGTAATTTTAATAAATGCTTAAAATTATTGCAAAGTCGTAGTCAGGAAGCATAAAAACAATCTATGCACCTATTCAAAGTTAGGAGAGATATTTTCGTTATGATTAAATGCTACTGGTGCTATTTTGGTACATTTTTTTCTAAATTATACTTGATATTTTTAGCTTTGAACGAGTTTGTATGTGATCAATTTTATTTAAACTTGAAATGTATTTTTTTCTTTGCAAAAATGGAAAATTATTTTCATTTATATCTGGATTTGATTTAATTGTAAGAATTATCAATTGCATAAATTATTAAGAGGCTAATATCTATCCACTTTATTCAATGGCATTGAGAGCAAGGTCTGGGGAAGGTTTTTTCATTCACCAAAGAGAATGAATGAAATTGATTTTTATTGAATTATTATTTTATTTTTCTCCCTTTGAGTAGTTCGTATTGAAATAATACACCTTATTGTTAATTTTAAGAGTGGTTCCTCATAAGAAACTCCCACTTTTTTTGTAGAATTAAAATAAATCATTTGCATAAAGTTATCTGGGCTATAATAATATTTATGTACTGCGAGTGCAAATTAACAAAATCTGCTTTTATACAATTCGGATTTGCTTCTTTTACTGGAGCAAACCACTTTCTCGTATATGTCTTATGCCTGACAATGACGTAGTTAGTATCGACTTTATTCTTTTTCTCCAAGTTGTTTTTCAATAATTATGTAAATTTTTCTGTAGTTTAAAAAAAATTTAAAAAATTAAAAATTTAATTGCTATACAAAGCAATTAGGCTTCACATTTACAAGTAGAAAATAAAGGTAGGGGAGAGTGGGGTCAATTGTAACAGGATACGATTGTAACAGAGCAAAAATTTCGAGTGTCGGGTTCTAGATTTGGTTCCTAGGTGACCCACAAGGTGTATTTAATAAATCTACATGTACACCGCTGCTGGCAACCATTTTTATGTACTTTTGAAAGAGTTACATCACAAAAGATATTTTCACGCTACGTAAATACTTTTTTTGGTATTAGAATATTATATTGAAACAAAGTAATTTTGCTTAAACAAATAAAAATTATTAACCGAATATGTAAGTGGACACCTTAATTAATATTTCAAAAAAAAAATTAGTTTTGTTAATTAACTAGCATTGTTTTTAACAAATGAAGCTGAAATGGCGTCTTGGGGACGATTGTAACAATAAGTAAAGGGACGATTGTAACAGCTGAAAATAAATAATCTTATGTTTACAAACCATTACTTAACTCTTTAAGAACCACCAATAGTTTCCTATATCATTTATATTATGTTGCATGTGCATTATTTTATTTGTCACCTTTCACAGCATAAATTAAAATTTTTAACCCCTTAAAGTTAAAAGTTTAACCCTTTAGGTCTCTGCTCATTATTATTTTTACTCCTAAAATATCACTACTATTTTGATCAATAAAAAAATATATCACAACTATGATAATATGTATAATTAACTATGTTTTAGTTGAATTTATGAACTGTTACAATTGACCCCGTAAGTGGGGACAATTGTAACAAGTGCACGACTGTCAAAAATTCTTAATAACTAATATAATAACATTTAAAATAAGGTTTTTTTTTTCAGTAGAGGATAGTCTACTTTACTCGTCTGTCAATTAATACTAATAATATATTGTATTTTTTGTTAGTTAAAAATAGTTAAGTAAAAACTGTTACAATTGACCCCACTCTCCCCTACATATTCAGCCAAAGCAGTAATGCTTCATATTTGGCGAATTTTTTCTCGGCTTTATACTTTTTTTCCAGCACTGTAAAAACATCAAAATTTTCTAATTATAAAATTCAATGCTTAAACATCTAAATTTACTTACTACAAAATTTATGTATACATTTAAGATTTTTAAACAATGAAAACGAATTAGAAACGAATAAAGTTGTTAGCATACTCACTTCTTTTCTACGAAGAAAAACAGTGTTCTAAAAAAAAAGGCATTTAAAATGATATCAGTGCACATAGTTACCCCTTTAAATCATACATCACTTAGGTTATTTAATACAATAATAATAATAAGAAACACTGAGTAAACCTGGTAAAGTTACTGTTTAACTAATTTATGTTTTTATGAAGAAAATACTAGATGAAATGTTCTTTTAATACAAAAATATGTTTTAATACTGTTTTTAAGTCCCATATTTTTATTAAATGAATCTGATTTTCAAGAGTTTGATTATCATGAAAAATTCTCCGATATAATTATTCAAACTACGTTTGAATAATATGTTCCTATGTGTATGGTTTTTGACGGTGGGCAGATTAATAATACAGATTAATAATAGTAAGATAATTTCGAAAATGAAAAAAAAAATTCTAAACTTCAAAATACGCAATTAATATGTTCCATTTCGTAATAACGCTGAATTAGCACAATTATTTGTTTGTAGGGTTTGTCTTTTATTAAAGACAGAAGTATGATTTGCCAAAGAGTTATATTGAGTTCAAATTTTGGTATTTGTTTGTATTCGTAATTTCTATCGTATATCTGTATTTCAAAGGAATCATCTGCCGATTTTGAGTTTGTTTTATTCCATTTGGAGCTATAAATTATGTTTATCTAGGCAATGAATTTCAACTTACTATTTCTTGATATACCGTTATGGTCTTGTCTTCTCTTATTGTTGAGTAAGAAAGTGAACTGTGAAAAAAAATCAGAAATTAAATATATTTTTAAAGATTTTCGCACCTTACATTCTCAAATAAAAATAACTCTTACAGCGAGTCTGTTTTCAATCCCTTAGTTGCATTTATGTGAACTACAGAGCAACTCACATATTTTGATAATTCTCCATAACAGTTAATTTTATTTCATTTTTACTCCCTGTACAATTCTCTACACACAGCAAAATAAAATGTAACATAGAGTTGAAAAAACAGAGGCGACGGCAGCGGGTCTTAACAATTTCTTTTTAATATCGAGCATCATACTTAGTAACATTTTGCGGGATCACTGCTCTTATTTAGTTCAATAAAAATAAAGTACCTACTAAAGAAAACTGAACTTTACTCTATAAATATCACTTGAATCAACGTCAGATATTTTTTAAAATAGATTACAGAGTTGTAAAAAAGAAGAGGAAAAAATATCTAGAGCTGAGTTACTTTTAAAATTAAATTCTGAAAATATGACAGGGATATTAGAAAACATTGTGTAATATCTAAATACATTCCAAATGAACATTCAGATTTCATAAAGACAACTAATGTTTCATTAACTTCGTCTTCTTCTCATTGGCACGACAGCCTAGGGTGGACCTTGGCCTTCTCAACAAGCCTATGCCAAGATTCTACAGTTTATTATTTTTAAAACATGTAGGTCCTTTTCAAGGCAGTCTAAAAATCTTAGGTTTGTCGTCCTCTTTTTCTTGTACCTGTTGGTCTGCCACTGAAAACTTTTTTGGTTGTCCTGCTATCATCCATTCTTATAATGTGGCCTGCCAATTTGAAATTTGAATCCGTTGAATTTTGATAAATTTAATGACATCAGGTTTTTTATATGCTTTGTTAAGTTCCGTGTTTGATCTTCTAAACCAGGTACCAGGTTATTCCACCAAAAATGCTTTGAAGTTTCCTTAACTTATTAGTTGTGTTCATTAACACAGCTAATAGTGTTGACAAACTCTTCAAGGAATGATAAAAGATTTTTAAAAAAATAATAAAAAAGGCTAAAGTGGCGAACTGGGAGATTTCACATTTTCCCAGCAGCTAATTTATAACCCAGCGGCCTTTAACGATTCGGTCTTTTTTTGTGGAGATTTTTCCTCTTGATTTTAGTTAGTCGCAATTATAATGAATTTTTTTATTACTTTTGAAATGTATTACCTAAAATAAAGAAGTCAAGAGTCAGTTTTTTGTTGTTCAAGTATATACCGAACAGAAGTGCGGTTTGTTAAAAGTTTCTGGATTGGAAAATCGCTACCTGGCAGCCCAGTAATCATCCATCCATGCTTGGTACATTATAATTAAAAAACCACTTTTTCTTTTCCGTTAAAATCACTTTAGTGCTCCGACTTAAAATTTGAAAGTTTCAGAACCTTAGTTACTTAAACTTTAAAATACTTACTCGCAAGGTTGAGTAAAACTCTCAGCCAAACTAAGGCAGTCATGTGTAGATGACCCATCTAAAAGAATCAAGACGGTATTTAGTAGGAATTTAGGAAACATTTTCTTCATTTTTAAAGCAAATGCTAAATGGATCATTTTTTCCCCAACTAAAAATGCAACTTTTTGTAGAAAAATCCGTAATTAAATTATATTTAAAAAAATCATTTTTGTTTTACAAATGCTATTAAAAAGTCCCTTATTTCAGTACCGAGCACATGCGATCTGCGTACTCGTAAAATCTGTGAAAAGGAAGGTCCTGCGTTCGATCACCGAGTAACCCCATGGGTAGGGGAGAGTGGGGTCAATTGTAACAGGGTACGATTGTTACAAAGCAAAAATTTCGAGTGTCGGGTTTTAGATTTCGTTCCTAGGTGGAGCACAAGGTGTAATTAATAAATCTACATGTACACCCCTTCTGGCAACCCTTTTTATGTACTTTTGAAAGAGTTACATCACAAAAGATATTTTCACGCTACGTAAGTACTTCTTTGGGTATTAGAATATTATATTGTAACAAAGTAATTATGTTTAAACAAATAAAAAATATTAACCGAATGTGTAAGTGGTAACCTTAATTAACATTCTAATAAAAAAATTAGTTTTGTTAATTAACTAGCATTGTTTTTAACAAATGAAGCTGAAATGGCGTCTTGGGGACGATTGTAACAATAAGTAAAGGGACGATTGTAACAGCTGAAAATAAATAATCTTATGTTTACAAACCATTACTTAACTCTTTAAGAACCACCAATAGTTTCCTATATCATTTATATTATGTTGCATGTGCATTATTTTATTTGTCACCTTTCACAGCATAAATTAAAATTTTTAACCCCTTAAAGTTAAAAGTTTAACCCTTTAGGTCTCTGCTCATTATTATTTTTACTCCTAAAATATCACTACTATTTTGATCAATAAAAAAATATATCACAACTATGATAATATGTATAATTAACTATGTTTTAGTTGAATTTATGAACTGTTACAATTGACCCCGTAAGTGGGGACAATTGTAACAAGTGCACGACTGTCAAAAATTGTTAATAACTAATATAATAACATTTAAAATAAGGTATTTATTTTTTTTTCTAGTAGAGGATAGTCTACTTTACTCGTCTGTCAATTAATACTAATAACATATTGGATTTTTTGTTAGTTAAAAATAGTTAAGTAAAAAAATGTTACAATTGATCCCACTATCCCCTACAGAGATCTGCTGGAAATTTCCTTCTCTTTCATATCTATGTCTAAATTGTGGAAATGGAATCACGAATGGGTGGTGCAGTCATCTATCCCAGGGGTTCTGAACTGAGGCGTGATTGCACTCCTGCGGTGCTCTTTTTTCAAACAAATGGCGAGCCACTACTGACATAATTCGCAAAAGGCCGAATGCTTGGCTTGACTAAATGTAATTAGAAAATACAACAACTTCTTTCTGTTTAATTGGGTTTCTCATTGTGTTAAAAGAATTCAATACTTTAAAACTTTAAATTTTTTGCATCAATAATTAACACCTATAAGCGTTATAACATATATATGTAGCTTTATAAACATATACTTAAAAAAAATGTTAGTTTGAATCTTTAAAAAAATATGAAATTTAAAAATTATGTTACTATTTTCGATAATTAAATTCTTTTAAAATTTTGATAAAATTTCAAGTTTAACGAATTTGAAAGATTTAATCAATGTATATGCAAAAACATCATTCAGACTGGCACATTAATAGTATACAATAAATTCTTTTTTTCTTTCTTTGCAGTAATTAATAGTTTTGTCACTAATTGTCATGAAACCGCATTTGAACCATTATAGTAACAGATATGAGCAATTCTACAGATAAACGCCAATTAAGCGGGAAGAAAATAAAAAATTTGGGGAGGGGGGCACACTATTTCTACATGAATTTTCTTCTTTTTTACACCCTAAAAAGGCAAGAAAAAATCGTGAGCATGGACATTTTTCTTTGTGACATACTTTAAATGTGACATGCTCTTTCTGACATACTCAGATAAATCTGAGTCATTTATTCAGATAAAACGATTTTTACATAAATATAATATTATTATAATGTCTCTCTAACATGTATTTATGGAGATTTCGTACTATATGATTATATTTTAGCATAAAAAAAAAAAAAATTTAATCAAAGTTCCTAAATTGAAAAAATCGGGAAAAATTTAAAATTGGTATTTTGTCATTTAAAGTATGTCACAAAGAAAAAATTTCATGTTTAATATTTTTTCTTGCTTTTTTAGGGTGTTAAAAGAAGAAAATTCATGTAGAAATAGCGTGCCCCCCCCCTCTCAAAAAAAAATTCAATTTTTGTTTGGCTGCCTAATTTACGTTTATTTGTAGAATTGCTCATATCGTCGCTTTGAAACTAAACCGTAGTAGCTCAAAAAAATCGAAAAGTGAGATAATTGGGTCATTTTGTGTAAAAAAAATTACCCTTTTAGAGAAACAAAGTGTTATCTTCCTAGTTCCATAAAATTAATTTAGAGAGCAGATAAATCGTTATCGCATTGGCGCGATTAGCATCAGCGCGGTAAGTTAGAAATTGTTCTACTGAAAAACTTGCTTTTTTGAGTTACCACGGTTTAGTTTCAAAGCGACGATATGAGCAATTCTACAAATAAACGCCAATTTTTATACTAAAATATAATCTTATAGTATGAAATCTCTACAAATACATTTCAGAGAGTATAATAATTATGTAAAAATCGTTTTATCTGAATAAATGGCTCAGATTTATCTGAATATGTCAGAAAGAGTATGTCACATTTAAAGTATGTCACAAAGAAAAAATTTCATGTTCACGATTTTTTCGTCCCTTTTTAGGGTGTAAAAAAGAAAAAAATTCGCGTGGAAATAGTGTGCCCCACAAAATTTTTTTTTATTTTTTTCAGGCCGCCTAATTGGTGTTTATTTGTAGAATTGCTCATATACTAATTTAAAAAATTGTTATTAGTAAAAAAAATAAATAAATAAATAAACTAAAACGAGCTCCTTCAAATAAGTTTTTGACTAAACCATCGCCAAACGGGACCTCCGTAATTCCTCATCACAATTACCTAAAACACACTAACATGAGAGTTAAAAAAAAAAAAATTAATTTTTATTTTATTTCCAATGAGCTGCACAATCAGTCTTCCCGATGAGTAGACCTAGTGCATTCTCCAGAAGTGGTATCCATTCTTTCAGGACCACCTCAATGGGTGAGATACCGTTGGTCATGTTAATTTGGACGTCTAGTTTCTGCCACACTAGATGGCAGCACCGAGACTCAATTTGGATGCTAAAGTGTGAGTTAAAACAAGAAAAACTTAATTTTTCACAACAATAATCCATTAGGCCAGGCTTATAAATTATTCATATTTATCTTAGTATGAAAATTAAAATATGAAAATATGATCTAAAGAAATTTAAAATACTCATACGTTTTTTTACTACATTCAACATTCTTTTACTGCATTACAACACTATACATGGAATATGCATTAAAAATCTCTTACCTGTGCAGTTATTACAAGTCGTACATATGTTATAAGAATTCTCGGGGTAGTCCAAATCGATTGGAATGCAGCCTCGTTCTTCAATTGTTTTATTCATTCTACATTCCTGAAGGATACCCTATTTAGAATTCACAAAGAGAAGAAAAAACATTTTTTAACGCATTGCAACATAAATTATTCGAAAGGCAGCAGTTTTGCGCATAGTTTGTCTTAAGTAAGTACTCCCCTAGCCATTCGTTTAGATCAGTGGCGGTGACTATGGTAACGAGGTATAACTATTTCAAGTAGAGGTGTGGACAGTTTTTGGCTCTGGTCGGCGAGAGAAAGGGAATATTTTTTTTCGGTCTATTGTGTTAGCCCTAGAGTGAAGAGAAGCTACCCTCCCTGAAATGCGCTATTCGTGTTTCCATAGCAGCAGATGGTTTGAGACTTTGATGATTCATGATTTCAATGACTTAGTTTTCTTTTATTTTTTATTTTATTTTTATTCCATTTTATAACCGGCCATAAACATCCGATTTATTTCTGATTTACATTTATAAAAGTTCAATTCCATAACCTAGTAATTTTGATACCAGCCTAGAAGACAAGGGAACTTCCTTGCTCAAGTACAGAAACAAATTAGCCCTCATGGAGGAATAAAATGACTATGAATAAAATGAAATGACTCAGTAATAAATGAGGAATAAAAAGACGACGTACAGAATTCTTATATGTTTTCTCAACTCCAACACGTATGACAAAATACACTCTATCACAAAAAAATCGACGCACCAAGAAGAAGTTGTCCGATTGAAACGAAAATTGGTGGATAGGAAGACAATGTACAGAATAGTAAATGATGAAAAGTTCAGAACAATTGAATAATTTATTACAGAGTTACAGTAACAGGTTCAATAAGGTGTTGACCCGCCTCTAGCCTGGATACAAGCTTCTACACGGCATGGCATAGACCGATAAAGCTCCCGGATGGTATCTTGTGGTATTTCCTGCCAAATTCGATCCAATTGTCGAACGAGGTCATCAACATTCCGTGCCAGATGCAATCGCCTTCCCATCATATCCCAGACATGCTCGATGGGAGAGAGATCTGGTGATCTGGCAGGCCAAGGAAGAGTTTGACAAGCTTGCAGACAGTTCATAGCAACACGTGCCGTATGTGGTCTGGCATTGTCCTGCTGAAAAACCAGCCCAGGGCGCTGCAAAAGGAACGGTAGCAAAACAGGTCTTAGGATGTCGTCGACGTACCGCTGTGCAGTAAGTGTACCTCTAATGACGACCAAAGGGGTCCGGCTGTCAAAGGAAATGGCACCCCAGACCATAATACCTTGTTGAGGGCCGGTGTGGCGTGCAATAGTGAAGGCAGGATCCCCCCTCTGCCCTGTGCGTCTCCAAACACGTCTTCGATGATCGTCAGGACACAGTTGGAAGCGGGATTCGTCGCTAAAGACTATACGTCCCCAGTCGGTATCATTCCAGCCTGAACTGTTCAAAACATTCATGCATACGAAATTTCAAAGCAATCGGATGATTGTTTCTTGGTGCGTCGATTTTTTTGTTATAGAGTAGTTTCCATTAGGAGATATATTTTAAAAAAAATAAAAACAATGGTTTTGTAACAAATTTTCGGTACCATCAATAGCAATTAATGAAAGGAATTAAAATACATAAACACTTAAAAACGAATAACGTTGGGGTACAAGTTATGAAAAGCTACCACACAATAAATGTGTGGATAAAAGTAGATACAATTTTTAAACAACAAGGGAACTACCGTCTACCACTGAAGATATTTTACGTCAGCACTGTGGTTTTTGCAAACCAGATGCAGAATTTGTATCTACCTGCCATCACTGGACTTCGAACCCAGATCACTTGCTTGGAAAGCCAACACTCTATCCCCTGAGCCATCACGGTTCTTATAGAGATATTATTAAGTTCATTAAAATTCAAAGAAATAAATAAACAAGTTATCTAATAAAATATATTGACTGAAAGAAAAATATTTTACTTGTATACTAGGGAATGGCAGTTCTCAAATAGATCAAGATAACTAAAAATTTTAATCGTTAAAAGGCAAAAAAATTGGCAACAAAAGATCGATTCGAATGAAATTTTTTGTACAAGTCAGGGTCAAACAATGGCTTTTGAGGCACTGAGGATGATGATATTTTAACTTTTGTTAGAACTAAATTAATTGGCATGTAGTAGTAAAAGTTCGTTTTAATGTAAAGGAGTAATATGCAATGGCAATGAGGTAAACATTTCGTAACGTGAATAGTATTCTTACCATTTGATCTATAGGAGCTTTACCATCACGTTCTCTCCACAAACGCATGTAATCCGTACAGTTTGTCTGATATGGAGCTGGGAGCAGATGCTTTTCCCTCTGGAATAAAAATTGTATAAACAATTTATCTATGAACCCTTGACTAAGTAATTTGTTTTAAAATTTTTTCCCTGCATTCATTGTTTACATTGCTAACTAATTTCGTCTTTTATTTATTTCAAAAATGTGATCTGTTAGGAATTTCGGATCACGTTTTACTATGATATGATTTATATTTGCGGTTAATTTAATACAGATCCAAGTGAAACCATATTTCAATACTAACTAATATTTTTTAACATAATTACACGATAGCACGGTTCCAACCGAATTGAAATATGGTTCGATTCAGTACCTTGCTATGGTTTCGGAAAATTTGGACAATAGTATGGTTCAAGAAACCTCTATTATGGTTCAACTTTGAACCGGTTTTGTCAAAGTGTGTATAAATCTTGTGATCATCCCTTCGTACATTTCATCTATCCTTATGTATAGGTTTATGTTGATTAGCTATTTGTGATTAGCTTTATATCTTTTTTAAATATAAATTTTGTTTTAGCATTAATGTTTCATTTATTCAATGTTATTTTCTTTCACAATTCTATGTGTCAATTTTAAATATCTTTTTTTTTACTAATTCGAGCTAATACTTCAGATCGGAGAATATGGAACCAATGAGAAATCATTTCAGTCCTTCTTACAAATTCATTGCAAAAATGTAAGCACTTTCTTGTTTAAAAAAGGTTCCGTTTCATCCTGGATCTTTGTAATAACAAACTAGCTCAGTGAAATAGACACTCCAGCACTGCTTCAGTACAAATACCTGGAATGTCCAGTGCGTTCGCCCAGATAAGCATTTCTCTAATAACAAAGCCAATAATCAAAAATGCGAAAATACCCTCGCTATTAGAATATCTCAGAATCTATCTGTTAACCAAAAATGGCTGAAACTTAAGATGATGATCGATTTGTGGGTCTCCCCTAGCCATAAAACACTTATACACTCCTACAGCCTTAAAGTAGTTAATAGCCGTCTATGTAGGGTTAGTAATCTAAAATAGGTAATAGATGGGGTCCATCTGATCCATTCTCAAGTATCAGATTTGCAATAATTTGTGGATCGTTGCCGAGTGGTCAGGGGCTGTCTCTTTTGTGCTCTATGTTATGTTTTCTGTGTTCTATGTTCTGTGTCTATGTTCTGCGTTGTATGTTCTATGTTCTGTGTACTATTCTTCTGATGAAATTCCCCTTTTATCTGTGCCATTGGAAATGAATCGGGTCCTTGGAGAAAGAAAAATCTCTACTCAATGCTTGGTTGCCACTTCTTTGTCGAAAACTAACACTATAGCAACATGTTTCCTTGTGTGAATATTAAAGTAAGGAATGAATTGGACTTACCATTGATACCCGGATGTCGTAAGCTCGACCTCCGATGTAATTGTAGCCGTCAAGAAATGGACTTGGTAAAAAGTACGGAGAATGGACTCCCATTTGGATGGAAGGGGAATCAGGTAAGTTGTGTTTGGGTTCGTATTTGGGTGGCTCTTTTTCCTTTGGAATTGGCTCAGGACGTTGAGTAGTGTTGAGTTGAAAATGAAGATGCATCACTGAAAAATTATTATTTTGAATTTACTTGAGTATATATATATATATATATGTATAAAAGAGACAACGGAGTCCCATCTGCGTCAAAGAGCTAATGGGACCATGTTTGAAATATTTGTTACCTAATATATATCAGCTATATTTTTAATGTGTATTGCCAATTGAAAATTCTTAATCGTGCTCATCAATCTTGATCCCAAAAGTGTTCGAAATAAAAAACAATATTACAACTGAGTTCAAAAATCCATCAAAATTAAAAATTACGTTTCTACTTAATAAATAAAGTTTTATAGGATCGTGTGTTTCATTGTTAATTTAAGGCATTTTTATTGCTCTCGAGAGTCGAAGCTTCTGATAGTGACGTTGATTGAATTTTCCATTTAAATGTCTCCTAAATTTAATTAAATTTCCTTGCAAAGTGTCACAAACGGTTGAGACTCTCATTTATTTCCATTTCATGAAGTTCACTTTTAAGAGAGGTTGAAATTAAATATTATTTATTTACTCTGTTAATTACAGAACATTACTAAAAAACTTGATTATGAAGCAATATTCTGTTTTCAGGATTTCACTCATGAGTTTATTTTAGAATGTTTCAAAGTTTATTTTGTTTTCATATTGAATAAATAATATTATTCTTGATTTTATATTGAATTTCTTGATGAATTTAATTAATACATATTAGAGAAATAATTGTTTTTTTTTTTGAAGTATTGAAAGATTTCTTTTTTAAATTGTGCGAATCATTGAAAAGAATTTCCTGTAAGAAAATTAAGGGATCGAACAGAAATATGGAGACACTTTTATTTTTGACTCTATGTAAACAATNAAACGAGATTTTATATCACTTCATTAGAAAGCAAACTCTCTATCTCATGCGATACCACAGCTTCTTGATTTTGACATTTATTAATTTAAGTTGGTAACATGTTTAAATAGTAAAATGAGCCCATGATTTCGTAGATCATTCAAACTCCTAATCACCGATGTCAAACCAAAAATAAATAATCGGTAAAAACTTGTCCAATGAAAATCATTTCTTAATTAAATAAAGCTATAAGCAATAAAATATATCATATTATAAAATACTTATGAAATCCTGTAGAAACTCTTTTCTCTAGAATGTAGCAAGTGAACCGGTCGCCAGAAAAAGTTTTAAGGTGGACAGTTAAGTCCGTCCTGTTTTCGAATGTGTATAAACCAAATTTGGTGTGGATAGGTAATGAATTACGGATTTGCATGAGGTACATACTTAAACGCGTACATATAAACATTCTGCTTTATTTATATTGATAATTAAAAGTACCTGTCTTTTAGAATACGAGGAAGCAATTCAAAGTAGAAAAGCGCCTCTAGCAGCTTACCACGACATTTCCCGGTAAAGAGCTCCTCTGCAATATTAATCAATTATTAATCAAATTCGCCCTTCCTCCAACAGAAGTTTGTCGCAATATTTACGGGACACTTCAGATGGGCCTTATTGAAAATATTGCAAATTTACATTCTTGGCATCCACTTTTAAATCCTTACAAAAAGTTTCTTTCTTAAATCTAAACTTATAGTACTTAAAGAAAGTTGAGAAAAATGATAGAAAAAGCAAAAGTTCTTCCTGGGAGTGTTATTTATGTTTAACTCGAATTCAAATATAGTGAAACATAGCATTTCATTATAAGGGGAGAACAATTACTTTGCATCTTATCATAAAACTGCACCTATTGCTCCAAAGAGATATAAAATATAGCTGAATACGAAATGATTTAGTGAAACATAAAATTTAACTGATAATTCAAATATTTTTCGTTATGGTGAACTTGATTTTCAATGGTGATGCTTATAACTAATTTATTGAAGTTTATGACTTATTGCAATCTATTTTAAAAAGACTGATTTCTGCTAGAAGTGATCGTTTAAGGGGAAAAAAACGTATTGTAGGGAGAATAAAAGTATTATTAATCGGAGTATTAAAAACAAATTTTAGATTTAAATGACGTTAAAAAGCAAAGAAATATGCTTTGTCAATAGCTTAAGAACATTTATATTATCTACAAAGTAAACAAACATCCTTGTAAAAAGTAGTATTTAAATCCATTTTTCCAAGACGCAAGATAATCAAATGCATTTTTAATCTTTCTTTAATTTTCAACTTGGTCCCTCTAGTCATGACTGTTGCCTTACTGAATAAGGGCTAATAAAATTGCTCCTTAAAAACTACGCATTTTAAGAAAATAAGAAAAAAAAAGATTCAGAAAAGGAATTCTCTAAATATTTCCTTCACTTCCATGGTGTTGGAATGCAATCAGAAAACATTCTGTTCGGAACAATGTCATAAAGGCCCGGAATCTATATATATATTTCTCTTACACGGCGATAAAAAAAGCCTCATTACAACTCTCCGAATGGCAACGCTGGAAAATCAACCAATAATTGCCGCTAAAAATGTCACATGCCAAATCTAGATTGGGTGGCTCAACATATAGCGCTTCTAAAAACGGAAACTGAAATAACCAGAGTGTAAAATATTATGTGCTTATGCGCATCGTATTTTTTGTTAAATAATTTATTTATTATATATCAGTTTATAGATGGTAACGAGAAGAGTTTTGTGGTTGCTATGGTGACTAATTAGAAGGTAAATTGTTTTTTTGAGTGAGTGTGAGATTTGTTTTTTGGAACTGCGATGCTGTAATTTTATTGTTTAGTTAATAAATCTTCCTTTTATATTAAACGTGATAGTAGTTTCCTTAATTATTTGATTCGAAGTCCTTGGAGTTTTATTTGAGGTCAGTTTATTTTGTATTTTTTGACAAGAGAGAGCATTCTCACCAAACGAGATTTCTTCCGAAATTCAATGTTTTGTTTATGCAGGGTTTTTCCATTGCAATTTCTCTTATTTAAATTTTTAATAGACTTAATTATAGCCAAAATTTTAACCTTTTTAAAGAGATATCAGTTTTAGAAATTTTATCTTAAGATTTTATACTATAGCACATTTCTAATAGGTTTAACGAATTACATGTCATTTATTTGAATTCAAATTTATTTTAATGACTTAGTATTTACTAAAAAGATGTAATTTTTTTTTAAAAAAAAAGTTGTTATATGGATTTGAATGATTGTTTTGAATTCTTAGAATTTTGTGCATTTGCAATGTACCTAAGTTAGTAGCGAGCGAAGCGAGCTTGGTTTGCGAAGCAAACCATATAAGATTGCGTAGCAATTTTCGGGGGTTGGCGAGCGTTAGCGAGCAGGGGGCACAGCCCACTAGTGTTTTTATAATGTCCTTAACTTGCAATGGTCGTAATAGTGCGAATATTGTTCGATGTGGTGTCTGGATAAGCCTTATAAAGTCTAAAAATATTAAAAATATCTGGCTAGCAAAAGCACGAATAAAATAAATTAAACAGATAAAGAGAAAAATTAAAATTTAAAGCACGAGACAATTTTTAGAACAACAGATAAATAATAGATTTTTTAGGAGATAGTTTTTGTTTTTCAAATTTGAAGTTTGTACTAACCCGTTACAGTTTTTCCTTGTATTTGATAAATGCTTTTTTTTTTTATAAAACAAAAAACTGTTTCTGAATATAGCTTGATACGTTATAGCCTATAGATATAAATGTCCGGAGTATCGCGTGAATGAGTCCAAATAAATGTTCGGATAGTAATGGGAAGAGGATCATTGGCGTCACATTATCCTGAATGTTCTAACATTTTTTAGACATTTATTTATTGCTTCTTTCCTTTTTATCTAAATTGTTTTTTGTGGAAGTTCAATGCGCTCGCCTCCCATTGAGAGGAAAAGGGTTCGAAACCCAGCTATTTCTGGTCGATACGAATTCTGCACCTGTCTCGCATAGACCACAGTGGTAGACAGATTATGGGTTAGATTCCCTTTGCAGTTAGGTTAAACATGGGAAGTTTTCGTAGTTTTCCTCTTGTAAAACAAATGCGGGTTAGTTCGGTCAAAAAAAGTCATTAATCCAGGAGTCCCTTTGAACTGTAGAACTACAGACAAACTACAAGGCTACGGCTAAATTGACTTTTGAAGTGTCTATGAAATTTCTATGGGTATACCTGTTCCTTTTGGTATTTGTCTTCTTTTTCCGTCTGGGTCACCCCAAAGTGAGTAGATGGTGTAACAAAACTGTGGCATCTCTGTCTTTGAAAATATTGATCCTCTTACATTAGTCAAACTGAAAAAAAACATTAAAAAAAATTAAAAAAAAAAAGAATTCATTTTTTAAAAGTTAGAGGAAAAGTAAAGAACATAAGCACATTAAGGAACGTTTGATCATAAAACGGATATTGGGAAAATAAATAATTGCTCTTTTTCCACTTCTGTTGAACAGAATGATTAGAAAATAACACTTATTATATAACAACAATACATTTACAATAACATTATGTTAAGTCCTAGGAAGCATATACCCTAAAAAATAGTTTACATTTGTCAATGTATTTATGTGTAAGTGCAGGATGATTATAAAATTACTTAGCCGATATATGGCCCTTTGGAGTGCATATTGTTTGAGTGAATAACGGAATAAAATGGTGTATATAAGTTTAATGGTGTACATAAGTGATAAATGCACTTGATGTAAAAGTTACAGCGACGAAGTTTTGAAATTTTCAAATGGCTATCCACATTTTTGATCAAAACATATTCTTTTCAATGAAAAGCATAAATTGGAGTTGGGATGATATTTTTAGCACTATAAATTGAGTTGATAGGTTTTCGCTATTCGCTGCCTTTTTTAGGACCACTAGCAAAAAGAAAGTGTGATAAAAATCTTATTTTATTTCATTTTTTATTTATTTTTTTTTAAAAAGAAAAAAATTACGAAAGATCAAATTAGTGGTTTATGAATTTTTGACATATGCGTCCTAAGATGTTCAATATGTGCATAGTTTCTTCTCTGTTTCGAGAGATTTTTGTAACAATCTCTTCTAGTTGATGGTCATGAAGGCGGGAATTAGCAAAAGCCTAGCATTACATTTTCTTGTTCTAAAAATATTGTTTCATTTCCAATTGCGGTTTTTGTCTGTAAGGATTACGCTTCGATGAAAAAAAAAAGTGGGTGCTGCCATTTGAATTTTTTTCCTTAACTGTAACCGCGGCGAGAGCTGCGATATTTTATATTTAATATCATTTTTGAGCTCATAGCTCCTAATAATTTTGTATTCTGCCTTATTAAATTACAGTTTTTAAAATTATGTAAAAATTTTTATTTCCGTCATTTCAAATGTTATTTAATTATTTTTAAATAAATAGTACATAAATAATCAATAAATATTTAAAAAAAAAATTTTTTTAATGAATAAATTTTATAATTGTGTGCTGAAATTCTTCGCTATATCGAATTTCGAAAATAAGAAGAATCTCGAGGTATGGCGAGATACGCAAAAAAGCAAAATTAACATTTAAATGTCAATATCCTGACCAAACTGTTTGAACCCTATTTTTTAGATTGCGGCTACCCCGCATTTATTGAGGGTTATTCAGAGAAAGTACATTTTCGTGAGTTATTTCGTAACTTAAAATGTCATCTGCCTCAAATTAATTAGCATATTTGAAGTTATATTAAGATTGAGTCCTAGTATCCACTGCATCAAAAGGTTTTCAAAGTGTTCTATCTCTTTTTTTTAATTTTATGGACTGTACTTCTAGTTTTGAAATTATAACCTTTACTTTTGACTAAGTAGAGTATGTATTCAAAATTATTGAAACAAACATGTGGGGATGGTAGACATCGACAATGTCAATCTTCATCTATGAAAAGGTACCCCATCATAGAATCAAGTTAACATGTCTTATATACTAGTGAATTGAAATTATATTTTTGTAGTGGTAGATACACTACAGTACTCCCCCACCAGAATTATATCTGTGATAGAATTCGATGAACGGATACCACCAGTTGATTCATTGCTGTTTTGTGAGAAGCAGGGAGAGCTGTATTAAGATCACCGTACTTTTTAAATGCTGATAGTGAGAGCTGTATTAAGTTCACGGTCGCTCCTGTGTTGCCTTTAGCAGTCGTGTGTATGCATTGTGCGTTGTGTGTGAGAGAGACTGAGAAGTAACAGCGTGAGGAGGATAATGTCGTAGTCACAAGTAGCAAGTCAACTGTTCAATGTGGAATCTATCAGAGAAGGCGTGTTCAAATAAAAGTGGGCGTTTCTGTCAAGGTAGACGTGTTCACATTCGGGTCACCAATGTGGGGTAAGTTGTTACCGACAATGTCAACCTTCATCTATGTTAATGTACCCCAACATAGAATAGAGTCAACATATCTTTCTTACTAGTGAATTGGAATTATATTTTTGTACTAGTAAATACACTACAAAACAATAAAAGATTTTTGAAAGAATTACAATTGAAAGACTTATTAAAAACTTACTTGCAGTCGTCTATCATTCCACCGAACTCCAAGGAACATGTGAGATAGCTCTCCAGAGTTACCCGAAGCCTATTTTGATCATCAGGTTGAAGCACAGCCAATGACATAAATTTACCGTACGTAACGATCTGAAATTTTTTTCAGCTGGATCACAAAAATTCAATTATTTATAATGTATTTAAAAGAAATTTTGTCAAGTAATTTTTGGTTTATCTAAGTTTATGAAATTGAAATAAGTTTATCGAATTCTCTTAGTGAAAAGCAAGTGAGATGAGTTTGTTTGAGAAAAAAAATTGATTTCCCTTATTAATCCAAGTTTATCTCTGTTTGGGCGGAATTATCGACCATGCCAACCTTCATCTATCAAAAGGTACCTCCTGATTGCATTAAGTTAGCATGTCTTATATACCAGTGAATTGATGTTGAATATTCGTAGTGGTAGTTACGCCACAATACTCCCCCACCAGAAGTTTATCAGGGATAGAATTCGATAGCACTAGTTGCTGTACATGTGAAAGACCGGGAGAGCTTTGTTGAGTGCTGAATGTGAGAGGTGTGCTAACATCACGTCGTAGCGTTCGTTGTTGCTTCTGTGCTGCATTTTGCTGTCACAAGTAGCAAGTCAATTGCTCAATGTAGACTATCCATCGAAGTAGGAGTTACCGTTAAGTTATTTTGTGAAGTGGGCGTTGCTGCGTGTTTAAATCACGTCCGGGTCACCAATGTGGGGGCGGAGTTATCGACCATGCCAACCTTCATCTATCAAAAGGTACCTCCTGATTGCATCAAGTTAGCATGTCTTATATACCAGTGAACTGATGTTGAATATTCGTAGTGGTAGTCACGCCACAGCTCTGTGGCTGCTAAGCAACACCCTATACATGTCTAAGAAGAAATTTTCATTAAAACCGTAAAGTATTTCCTTGTTAGTAGGAACAATTTTATAGAACTCATGCAAGAAAAACATATTCTGTTATATTATTTAACTGTTAAAATCATTGTAAGAAATTACGGTAAAAAGAGCCAACACTTAAGAGCGCAGATACTTTTTATCGTAAAATCCATTTTTATCAGAACATGTTACGGAACAAAACATTTGATAAATCATCATTTTTACAGTACTAATTACTGTTAAATTCACTCAATCACTCTAATTAAAGAGGTGTCAGAAAAATTTAAATTTTATTTTAGGATGATTTATAGTTTTTAAACATAAAAATTTTTATAACCATCGCTACTCCTTTATTGTTAAAATATGCAAATTTTCGTTTAGAAAGTTTACAGTTTGTAGATGTAAGGAATTTTAGATCTAATGCTGCTTAATTAATTTTTTGAGAATGCATACAAACATTTTAGAATTAACTTTTAGAGCAAATCGGACTGCTCTCTATTGTCAATATAGTTAAATTAAGTTCAAAAAATCTATATTTAAAAAAAAAAATTATTTTAATGAAACTCAAAATTAAGGTGTTATTTTACTCGAGTTTCAAACACATTCGTTTCAATTATTTATAAGTTGACATTCAAAGCATGTTTTGAGTTATTGTGCTGATGGTAGTTAATTCACCAAAATGATTTATGGAAGAAATGATTGGTGGTTAATTCATGGGAGTTTTTAATATCATCAGTGATCGAGAATTCTAAAGGAAATTTTTAAAATCGTGATAAGCGATCACGAAACAAATCATGCTTGACAGAAAATTACATCTGCTGTTGAAAGCTGTCTTGCTGCCTTAAGTACTTAGTGTACGCTAAAAAGACAACGATAATTTACTTTCTCTAGAGATAGGTAATATTCTAATCTATTAAAAATTGATATGTTTTTAAATAGATAGGGATGTGAGATATAAAATCGAATGGTATTTAAGCTATTCTAATGCAACAATAAATTTATTCTCAAGTTTAATTGAAAACTTGTAAAAAGTAACTTTCGAAATTATTATTGAAAAGCAATAAAAATACTCTTTTATAAATTTAGAAGCACCTTAAGCCATAATATCCTTCAAATTTTCTGCCACCTAATGATATTATGGTTCAACAATGTAAACGATTCCGGATAAAATTAGGGTATAAAGTACCGGCACTTTGAATGCATCATCCAAAAATCTATTTTTACTGTTAAATAATAGCGAAGCGCTACTAATTAATTAGTGCAATGATATTTTAAGTTACGAAATCAGACACGAAAACGTACTTTTTTTGAATAAACATACCTTTTTTCGACTAATTAGAACTTCTGATCCCCAAAATATAGGGAATTGCCACTATCTGGAAAACATAGCCCCGATAGTTTGATCAGGAGAGCGCTCCAAAGTTTGAACCCCTTAGTGTTAATTTTACTTTTTGCGTATTTCGTTATATCTCGGAAACTTTTCAATTGAAAATTTTTTGCACACAATTATAAAATTCCTTTTCTCAAAGATACCATGCAAAGAAATAAATTTTAGTAAACATTTATTATTTTTTTATTATTATTTTATTTTATAACAATCGAAAAAATTTTGAATTGTAAGGTACGAATTTTTTTTTTACATCCTTTTAAAGCACGCAATTTTGAGTGTGCATAATACATTTCGAGTGAAATTGGCTCAGAAATCGAATTTTAAATGTATGACTTTTTTGAAATTCGATTTTTCAGTGACCATTCGATCAATTTCCCTCAAATTTGGTATTTCGCCTTTTAAAATTACTTAAAAATGATGCAAGAAACTGCACACTTTACAATTCAAAATTTTTTCGATTGTTATTAAATAAAATAATAAAAAATAATAAATATTTACTGAGATTTACTTTTCCCATGGAATTATATTTGGGCAAAGAAATTTAATAATTGTGTGCAAATATTTTCCAATTCGCTTGAAATGTTTTTGAGATATGAAGAAATACGCATCAAATCAAATTATCATTAAGGGGTTGTAAAGACTTTTAAACTTTCTCAGAAAAGACTAGTAGCTTACATCTTAATTATTTATTCACAAGTTAGAGATGCACAAAACAGACATAAAAACGACACATAACAGACAAAATTTAACCAAGACATTTATCAAAATACCGCCATCATCATTTTTATAATCTCGACTCCACTCTCTTTGGAAACAAACGGAAACCTAAAAGAAAGTTAGTGTGCCATCTAGTGACCAGTTTCTTACAGGGTCCAACACCAAACACTATTAGGCCATTTCTCTGATTGATTCTACTCTCTATACTTTGAGAGTCAGAAATCAGAATCCGTTGAAAAAAAGGTATGTTTATTCATAGAAATATCGTTTTTGTGTCCGATCTCGTAATTGAAAACATCGTCTGCACTTGATAATTAGCATATTTGAGCTCGAACCATTATGATTGAATCCTAAAACGTGAAGATCCGATCATTAGTTCAAAAGTTATTCGGAGTGGTTCGTTATTCATTTTACTCGCTGTGCGTTACAAAATTTATTTCTGCAGATTCAGTAAAATGTTTCTTGCAATGGATTTACTTTCTTGCAATGTTCCTTGCAATGCTTGTACTCCATAAACTAATCTTGTTTCTACCGTGTTACCTATATTCAATACATGGTAAAGTTTTTTTTTTCTTTTTAAACCTTGTTTCGTTAAGTATACTGTTAAAATTAACATATCGCTTAGAAAAAGTTTAAAAAATTTATATTTCTAATTTTATTTGAACTACCTCTTTATAACTGGTTGCCTTTTGCTATGCATACCTGAAAATCGTCCGGAACGCGTTTCGTCTCAGGATCACATACTGCTTTGTGATTTGAACAAATTGCATCTCCCACGTAACGATTGATTCCGAACGGTAAACAAGCTCCAACAGGTTGTCCAGTAGGTGTTTTGAAGTCGCAGATGGTTTTGTAATGGTAACTGAAATTGAAAATAAAATAGTCAGTGAAGAAATAGGCGTAAATGAATATGCAAGATATGAAGATGATGACAATATGATGTAAGGATGATGCTATACCACAGAATAAGCCCTTCATGCCAAATTTGCTTTGCTTTCCCCTAAATTTAAAGTTTAGACTAGATCAAGCCATGAAAAGGGAGGTTACCGTGAAATTTTTGCTACATAGACTAATGCATTTTTCTTAGTGCCTAAACATGAACAGCCATTTTGGTGTTTACACACTGATGAAAGTTCTGATGTAATTGTTCCGTTCTTGTTCATTATTTTCACTCGCACACACGTTGTTTTATTGCGACAAATGAGGTTTCTAATGCTGACCTGACCACACCAGGTGATGCTAGACTTCGGTGATAGGACGAAAACCGGTGTTTCCGTCATCATGATATGACTGGTGACAGATGATCAAAATACGGGCAAATTATGATCGGATCACCGAAGGTTACGTATTGGTTAAGTTTTCTTACAATATTAAATTTTGCATTTTGATATTTTAAAAATATTTTTAAGCGTTTGAAACTTCACAGTTCACTCTAGGTCTACATGAACTCGCTTCCATTTAAAGTTAAAATTTCAAAATATCAATGGATATGAAACAAAATTTGACTTATTAAGTTTTATCCCACGGTATAGCGTCCGTATATATATATATATACACTGAGTGGCCAAATTATTATGACCACCTCAGAGTTTTATGCAAATGAGTTATTGCGTCGCAGCGCTGCCGCTAGAGGGCAAGATAATTATAACACGGGAATGCTGGACAAGTGAGTCATCGGTTATACTGTGTTGCTTGCTCAGATATGGGAAAGAAAAGTGATTTAACAGAATTTCAACGTGCAATGATTGTGAGTGCGAGATGTGTCGGAACGAGCATCAGCAAAACGGCTGCACTTGTGAAGTGTTCTAGAGCAGCAGTTGTTAATGTGTACAAAGAATGGACAATCAAGCAAAAAACCGGGTCTTAGCGTCAGGCTCGTGGTCGTCACAGTGTACTGAATGTTCGATCAGAGAGAAGGCTGGCCAGGGTTGTGCAGCGCAACAGAAGAGCAACAGTGAGACAAATTGCAAGTGATCGTAATCAAGGAGCAACCGAGAACGTCTCTGAACCGAATGTTCGACGCACATTGTGCCGTATAAGGTATGGAAGCAGACGACCTGTTCGTAAGCCTCTACTGTCTGCTTTAAATAAGCGCAGACGTCCCCAATTTGCAGAGGAGCACAAACATTAGACAGTAGATGACTGGAAGAGGGTCATGTGGTTCGATGAATCACGATTTCAAATGCATCGCGCAGATGGCAGGATGAGAATATGGAGAAAACAGCACGAAAGCATGGACCCCAATTGCATTGCCACGACACTTCAAGCTGATGGTGGCAACATTATGGTATGGGGAATGTTCTCTTGGAATTGTATGGGTCCTTTAATTCCTGTACCACAACACCTTAATGCCCGAGGGTATTTAAGTATCATCGCAGATCAAGTACATCCGTTTATGTCAATGGTGTACTCTGGCGGGGATGGATACTTCCAGCAGGATAACTCTTCCCGTCATAAAGCTGGCATTGTCCTCAGATGGTTCGAAGAGCATGACGGAGAACTTAACTTGCTTCGTTGACCAGCACAATCCCCAGATCTCAATCCAATTGAGAATTTGTGGGAAGAAATTGAACGGGCGCTCAGACAGATGGATCCAGTACCATCAGATTTGCTGGAATTGGCAAGTGCTGTTCAGCGAGCATGGTCTGGCATACCTTCTACCACCTACCAACATCTCATAGAATCCATGCCCAGACGAATTAAGGCAGTAATACGCGCAAAAGTTGGCCCAACAACGTACTGAAGGGGTGGTCATAATAATTTGGCCACTCAGTGTATATATGAATGACAAAATGAAGATAAAACAAAGGAAAATTATAGACATATGGAAAAAAAAAGGAGGGGGGAATAATAATGAAAAAAAATAACAAACAACTGATTTAAAAAAAAAAAATTGAAATTTCTATTTTTTAAAATTTTTTTTTAGGTAAGTTATTTTCTGGTTTCTTTAAAAAATTTCATCATTTTTTTCTTAATCAGTTGTTCGTTATTTTTTTCATTATTATTTTTATTTCATTATTATTTTTCACTTCATTATTATTATCATTATTAACCCCCCCTTCTTTTTTCTTCATTTGTCTATAATTTTCCATTGTTTTATCCTCATTTTGAACTTATCTAATGAGTTCTGTTTACTTGCAGCTTATGTGCAATAAATGAAACTTATTGTTTTCCTTAACTTTCTTCGTGTTTTCTTGTATTTATTTATTATATTTATATATTAATNATTTTTTTTATCTGCGTTTAATATGAAGTATAAAGAACATTAATGCTTCTCAATATGTACCCTTAATGATGATTATTTCGTTAAAAATCAGAAAATCAGTAATACTTAAAAAAGTTCTTGATTTGTGTAAACATTTGAAGCGATTCATTAACACACAGTCAGTAAACAGATGATTAAAATACTAGAAAAATCATATTTTCGATGTACCTATTTACTCGAAAATTGTTATATTAGTTTTAGTAAATAAGAATATAATATTAATAATTTTAAATTTGTGAAATTAAAATAATAACTCATACCATTTGTATTATATATCATTAGCGTGTATTGCCATATTATGGACTGTCCAAAAAGCAAAACTATTGTAAGCGCTTCATATTTTTCAATATTTTTGATTAGTGAAGTATAAAATGTCCAGCAGTAAATAATAAGTTTTCATTTTAGGAATAAATTCAAATGATTATATAGTCAGTAGCACAAGACCCAGATGCGACTATACTGCGCAGAACACTGAAACTTTCCGGCTAAAATAACGGTAAGAAGTGAATACCTGTTTCCGAATTTCTGTTTTTATTTTCCTGTAAAATTTTATACCGTAATTTTTACAATAATCTTTAATTACTCTGTGGTTCAGTGATTTTACTGTATATTGCTATAAAATCATGGTATATTGAATTTTTTATTCCGTAAAATCTTTCAGAAAAAATCGTTTTTACGGTAAAAAAAGCTGGCTCTCTGAGTGCCAAGACTTTTTACCATAATTAGATTCGGAACTTTTTAGAGTGTAAGATTACCTTCATAAAATAGCTAAACTCAAAGGTGTTGTAAATTTAGTCTGAAACAACAGGGGAAAAAATACATCACTTAGACTAGAAGAGGACTTTTTTAATCGAATTAGATTTTTGTTCCATAAAATTTAAGCAGAAAAAATAGAATTTACTGTAACGTATACTTTTACTCTGAGGCCATTACTTTTTACCGTAATTTGAAGATAGCAAAATTCAAAGGTGCTGTAAATTTAGTCAGGAACAATAGGAAAAAAGATTCATCACTTAGTCTAGAAGAGAACTTTTTTAATCAAATTAGATTCTTGTGAAATAAAATTTTACAGACGAAATGGATTTTACGGTAAATAATACTTTCACCATGTGGCCATTTTTTACCGTAGTTTGATTCGGAATTTTTTACAGTGTAGGATTACCTACTTAATATACCAAACTTCAAAAATGCTGCAAATTTAGTCAGGAGCAACAAGAGAAAAGATACATCACTTAGCCTAGAAAAAGTATTTTTCACTCAAATTAAATTTTTGTTCCATAAAATTTTACAGAAAAAAAAATCGATTTCACAGTAAATGATATTTTCACTCTGAGGCCGTTACTTTTTCCCGTAATTTGACTTTTTGCAGTGTACAATTATCTACATAAAATAAAACTTCAAAAATGCTAAAAATTTCACCTGAAACAAAAGAGAAAAAAAAGAGAGATACATCATTTAGTCTATAAGTTTGTTATGCGTCATCTTACCCTATGGGGTTGCAAAATGTGAATGATGGTATTTCAAGATAGGTTGGAGATATATCTTGGATATCTACTACCGTTGGATATGTCCAGTAAAGATTAAAAAATTCCAAACTTTGATAAGTAAATCCTCCCATACAAGCCACTACCACAAGCAATCTGAAAACTTTCTTATGCCGAACGAAGAAATTTTTCGCCATGTCTTTCACAGGTTTTTAAAAATCGAGTTGTGCTTTAGATTCAACAATTTGGATTGATCTAATTTCTTTGAGCTGAAGATCATCGTTACCTGACCAGTAAAAACAACCCTAGTGCATAAATCAATAAATTTAACACCGCCTACAATTATTGTCTTCGACTTTTTGCCAACCCCCACTCATGGAGATGCTTTTAAAAAAAATTGAAAATACTTTTTGATGTTAATTTATTCTTTTGTTCAAAGAACTTTGTTTACCATTTATTGTTAGATACCATAACATAGCAATGCAATCAACTTAAATTTTCAAACTTAACAAAAAGCTAGAAAGCATACCATGCAGAATCATGTAACGATGAAGTTCTAAAAGGACACAAAAGAATTAATTTGTTAAATGCTGTTAGTTTATACAATGAATTAGTATGTCTGCTTATACATGCATGCAAATATTTTAAAAAATTATGTCCTTGAATTAAAAGTAGAAACTAAAAAGAATTATTCTTAAATATTTTCAGTTTTGAAAATAAAATCATTTGAGGTTACAGCTCTTTTCTTATAACAACAGGTAAGATTTTTTCAAGTACTTTTTTTCAATTTATATTTTTTATGATGTTGATTAATTCATAAATCTCAGATATAACAAAATAAAAAATATTTGACTATTTATTTACATTTTTTGGTTAAACTATTAATTTTCTTGTTTAACGTCATTAATCTATTATATCATAACTTTGATGAATTCGAATTGTATTTATAGATCTTTAAAAATTAAATACTACAACTTAAAAGTTATTTATAATAAATGAGCTGAAATTCAGAATCATCTCAGCAAATCATTTACAGAGAGAGTCTGAAGGCTTTTAAGTTTATATTTGATTTTCTTAAATAATAAAGAGTTTGAGAATGTAATACAAATTATAAAATATCCGCAAGCTGAGATATTTTCAACTCAGAATCATTTTAATAAATCGTTTACAATAATAGTTTTAAAGCTTTTATGTTTATTTTTTATTTTCTTTAATAATGAAGAGTTTAAGAGTATATTACAAATTATAAAATATCACCAAGCTTAAATATTTTCAGTTCAAAATCATTTCAATAAATCATTTAGAGAGATAATTTTAAATATCTTATGTTTATTTTTGATTTTCTTAAATAATAAAGAGTTTGAGAATATAATACAAATTTAAAAATATCCCAAACAAAAATCTTGCTTACACGAAAGCTCACATTTAATTTAAATTATGCTGGGCAAAATTATGTGGAAGAAAAGTTTTTCTTTTAAAACTGAGCTAAACAATATTCTAGATGAAAGACACCTTCAAAATTTTATCAGAAAACCACTTTTCACAAAAAAAATATAGTGTTATCGAATTTTTATCAGAAATTAATTTATTACTACGAATTTCGAAAGTAAAAACAAAATCTCTAAAGATATGGTAGTTTTAAAAATAAAATAATTTAAAACTTCTGCTTCTAAGCAAATATTGAATCTTGATTACTTTTTTTGTTTCTAGATATTTTTAGCGTTTACTAACTATTTCAATAAATTTTATAACATTTACCTGCATTTTAAATTTTTTAAACTTAAATTAAAATTTATTGAATTTTAAATTTAAAAAAAAAAATTTCTTAAATTTTTTTCTCATGAAACTGAAGATTACTTTGAATTTTCAATTTCTACAAAATGAACTTAAAATCCGTTAATTTTTTTGTTTTGTACTTGTACTTTTACTTCTACATTTTGCTGGTTACTTTTTCAAATCATTACTTTTTACTTTTTCCTCCTATTTGTTTCTAAAAGTACTTGTACGTTTACTCGCTATTTTTTAAAAGTAACGCTCCCATGTATGTTCATGTTTGAGGAAAATAAATAAAGTCACAGTGGTACATTTTGCTGGTTACTTTTTCAAATCAAAACTTTTTAATTTTTCCTTCCAACTTTTGCTAAAAGTGCTTGTACATTTAATCGCCATTTATTAAAAGTAACGCTCCCATGTATGCTCATGTTTGAGGAAAATAAATAAAGTCACAATGATACATTTTGCTGGTTACTTTTTCAAATCAAAACTTTTTAATTTTTTCTTCTAACTTTTGCTAAAAGTGCTTGTACATTTAATCGCCATTTTTTAAAAGTAACG